CCTAGTAGGCACTAGAATGCATGGAGCTTGGCTGAATACTTGCATTCAGACAGAAAGGGTGGGAGTAGGGTTTTGGCGTGGTTAATCCAAAGGCTGTCTCATTTTTTACGGTGACCGTCGAAGAGGCTTACGCATACTGCTGATCAAATGAAAGAAGTATTACAACGAAAACTCACTATTTAGGTGCTTTGGGAGAATTAATTATGCAAGGTATTGTGCATCATTTGGAGAAATTATTTCCGGATCCAACGCTTCACTTAAGGAACCACAGTATAAAATAACCGCTTACACTTTTTCTCTTTGTAGATTTAATTAATTTGACAAGCAACTGACCATATTTCCTGAACAACATACCGACACCGAGGTTTAAGCAACTAACAGTGGTGGTGCCACCATAATCTCGAGCATCACTAAAAACGTTCAAGTGGTCTTCAGTGTGTTCTCATAATCTCTAGACGCATTTATTATCTCGCCTTAGAAATGGATGCTACCTGTGGTTCAAAACGCTTGCCGTCAATTGAGTTAAGATTCGATGCGCACGCATTTTTTCACCACATGCTTTCTAGAGACCCAAATAAAGACTGCTTGGTGGATAGCGTAACCTTAATCCGACTCAGTAACATCATGTTTGGGGTGTTGAGCTTTGGACTGCATTGATAGGCGAGTGTTCATCCTACCTTTTACAGAATGATGGGCCACTTCCAGGGATAAATCAACTGCTTTGGTTATACCTAGTTGGTTTCGTGAATATATAAATCGAATGCCTTGAACCTTGTAACAAGTTTTCGCAATGATTTACCACCTACTGAGGTTTCCTCTTTTCTCTATCTCAAGGTCTTCACCGAAACGGTTGCGGATGAACGCGTTAAGTGGATTGAGGTGGCGCACAATACCAATCTGCGGACCAGCCATAATTACATTCTCAAGAGCGTCGCTGAGATAAAGGGTGCCTTCTATTAACAGAAGCCCTTCCTAACACTTCCCTCCTCCACCTCCTCTCCCTTGCCTCCCCTGTCAATCCCTCCAACACGGGATGTTTTGCTCAACCCGCAGTCGTGATAACTAATTGCCCCTCCTTTCTCCGTTTCCTGCTCCACAATTGATCGTCACATTTCCTCTGTTGTTCGTAAGACGGGCGCTCTCCAACTCTTCTTTCGTGATCCACTTCACCTCGTGTCATCCCGACTCGAGCTACTCCACTCTTTCCCGCGGAAAATAACTCCAAGCTCTCGGACTGCCCGTACGTACGTAGGTGCGTGTGAGCCTATCAATCCCACTTCCGAAGTCCCTGTTTGTGCCTATGTTTTCCGTTGGTCTACATGCCTCTATTCTCATGTACGCGCTGAATTTTGCATTCCTTTAGAATAAAATAACGAAATTTTACTTTTCGCCGTGCATTTAATTAAGTCTGTAGTTTTTTGGAAGAAATCACCAACCTTTAATCTAGCAAAACGGATGTCGAGTAATGGGGATCTCGCACTATCTGGCCTTTAATCACTTATTTTTTCATTTGTTAAACTGTCAATCCTTGTTATTTTTGCTTAGACTATTCGAATTGGGATCGTGTTCAACGTGATTGCGTATCTTTGGCTTTATTTCGGCTTAAATCACATCCACTTTTAGCTGATTCCCACATTATTTTTTTTGTGCAGCTGGCAATTTTAGAAGGGTTTGAGGAATCCGCACAAATGTGTATCGCTATGACTCGCTCACGCAAGCGAAAATCCTCTTCTATTTCAAGTATATTCACCATTGTTGAGTCGAGTAATCGAACTTCCACTCCTTAATTCTGAACTGTCAAGGCTCTTGCTGATCCCGAGGTCATGCTCGATCCTCCGGATGACTTGGGACATTTTAATCAAGTATGTGATGACTTTGTAAATCAGACCAGTCCAAATATTCCTGATATGAGTTGGGTGATTTTAATGTGATTTGCTTAATGCCCTATAGATTTACAGGGGAGCTTGCATAATTTAGACCACGAAGCAGGTTATGCACAGTGACGGTGTATCCCTTCCCTCCCTTTCTTCCTTGTAAAAACGAACACCCGCTCCACGCCACATTTTTACTCCAGCATTCTTTGCCATGCGCCTTCCAATACTTTAGTCTCCAGTCAATCACGGACCGCTTTCACAGAATTCAATCAGACAAAGGTGGGATCATTCAGCCATTCAAGTGAAACTCTACCTTACATTTTACTTTGACTTCAGCCTGCTCAATCTAGCAGTGAATTCAATGGCTACGATTCCCGATTCATCAACAACCTTAAAACAGTCAGACTAAAGAATCACAAAACATCTCTAGGCAACCAGTGATGATCCGATTGTCCTGCTTTTGAACTCAAAACAGATGAAGGAACGGGCGAGGTTGAAGTAGAAACTCTCAAGAGCCAAAACATACCCGACTAAAGTGACGATCTCAAATTGAGCAGGACGAGCCCTATTTAGCGTAATTTGTATATTTTACCATCGTCTTCGTTGGTGGTGGTGTGGGTTTATGGTGATGATGTAGTAATTTTTACACAAAGACAGTAGGTAAGATCCCTTCTTTCTCACTCCTCATTTTTATCCTCAGTTATCCGAGTGGGAGTCCTCCTGAAACCGTCTTCCTTTGTTGCCCTCGTTTCACTTTTCTAATCATCTTCTGAGTTTCAGTACAAAAAGTATTTGCTGAGTGGCGCGAATTGGCAGCTCGGTAGCAGCGCAAAAAGTGCGCTGGATTGTTTTCATGGAAGGGAGAGAGGGAGGCAGGTAAAGATAGTGAAATAGGATTAGAGTGGGGATGGAGGTGGAAAGTCGTGGTCGGCTTCTCATCAAACACCACCACCACTTGCTCACACTCCAACTCTTTCATCATCATACAAAAATCGGAAGGGGCGTATAGACCGCGGTCGATAGGCCATTGAAAGGAGCTGGATGAGAAGGGCAGACCAAGAGGTAGGAAAAGGGTGAAGATGCAGCCTGATTGTTAAAAGAGGGAGGAAGAGTCATTGTTGCCTCAGCAACACCATTAGACCGCACTAATGAGACCTGTCGGCGATGAACCCGTTTGTGAAGTGGGAGAGTTGTTGGCGGTGGGGATGGTATTGGAAGAGGTGATCTTGGTCGAAGCCACTGGTGCCGTCATGGGGGTAGCTGTAGAAGTTTGTGGAGGGGTGTTGGCAATAAGACGGGATTCTACGCCGTTAGTTGCCGCCCGCGGAGTCACGTTTGTCGACGTGGGGGTAGTTTGAAGTGGATGAGGAGGAGATAAATCGACAATGCCACCTCCACCACCCGATGGAAGGGGAGTTTCGGTGACCAGATCAGAGCTGTTGTCCACCAACACCGTTCCTTGTGACGGTGGATCGACAATGTTTCGATACTCACCGTGCAACCAGTACGTTTCCATCTTCCCCTTACCCTAGTTCACAAAATTAATACAAAAAAATTTAAAGTTTCCCATCCTCAAGTCGTCACATTTAAAGTGACAACCTATTTCCATTGCTTAGATGTCCATTGGATTGGTGTTGGAGTTTGCCTATGAGTTTCAATTTTACAGCTAAGAAAATATGCCATCGTGGTTGTAGTGAGTAGTGTAACTTTCATTCCCACTAACTACCACACACACATGCAATGAATCAGTTCAGACACCATTACTCAGAAGAGCGCAACGACGGTGGTTCCCAGAATGGACCATTTGCACTGATGGCACGCCATGCGAACCAAACAGCAAACCTAGTCAAGAACACCTTACACAACCATAAATAACCAACAAACCGAAAGTATTGTTAACCATTCATGCTCCAACATCTCAAGCTTAATCTCACAAATCCCTTCCTACAATTCGCTACAGCCGACTCACTTTCATTTCTACGAGTCCGCGTTTCGACATAATGAAGGTGCCAAAAGTACGTAGAATGGACATGGTTGTACGGCTAATGTGGATGCGCTTGGCTGAAGGAGAAGAAATAGGGCAAAATTGATGTGAAATAGAAAAAAAGTGGTGCTCTTAAGCTAGGAGTGAATGAACTTACGTTCGCCGTTGCTTTCCATGCGCGAGGAGGTGTTAACAGTGTCACCAAAGAGACAGTACCGCGGCATCTTTACTCCTACTACACCAGCGCAGACAGGACCTAAAGGTTCGCGTGGAAACGAATTAAAGGAAACCGATGGACCTCCACTTCTGCCATGAATGCATATACGTGTTACCTCACCGATCGACTGCCACGTACGTAGTGTGGAGGTCTGGCTAACACCCACCTAGTCAATCTACACAAAACAAGTACTTTAAGAGCTGTGTACTCTACACGGACTGAAGAGATCACTCCCATTTTAAGTAAACAACTTCACACGAGATTTTATTGCATTTGTGTTCCCTCAAAACCCAACCTAAAGCGAAGAAAAACATTCATCTTAGTAATGTGATCGGTATTGGGGGTAAAATGGTTGGATAAGTAGTTCTCTTTCCCACAAGAAAACCGTACCAAAGTCAACTTTAGATTTTCTTGAGTATACTTTCCTCATCAAATCTAATCAATCGGTATTCCATCCCTTCTGTGTTTTCGTACAGAACCACCTTTCGACTGATATGGCTCCTAATGACTAGCCCTCAACTTATCTGATTCATCTACGGGAGGAGGCAGTGGACTGTTGAATACGGTTGAGAGAATCTGTTTAAGTGTTTACTACTGCAGTCAGAAGACTCCACCCCCGGTGCATATAAATAATTCGTCAAAATGGTTGCACTACTACAATACGACATGCTGATATGAAGTTTGTCCTCTCGCCCTTTCAAGTTCACTGTTTCCTGAGTATGTCCCAAGAGTTAGTCGCCAACACGCTTCTTTGTTGGTGAACAAGGCACTCAAAATCGTGTTATAACTTACCACAGTTCACGAAGTTGGACCCCATATGCTACAAGGATACTAACAGGAGTGGAAAGGTTACGAAATAGACGAGGAATAGCAAATCTGGTGGAATGAACGAAAATATTTGGAGGATGCCCATAATCCCCCGGACGCGGCCCAGAGACAAGCAAATTCAACGAACTAATCAAGAGGGAAGGTCTTTCCACTTTCTCTCAGAATTTAATGCTAAGGCTCACATATAGGGTCGAATGTGATTGATAAGACTACGTGAGGTTGGATGTGGTCCTGGTTTTGCCAGCCGACCGAGATACCCTGCACAATACACGAATTGTTGACCCAATGCACCTCCCCCACCTCCCCCACCTCCCCCGCGCATACGCACGAAGCGTGTGGGG